AGAAAGAAAGTTGTTTAAAATAATCTGTCAGAATCTGATCATTGATGTCATTCTTTTTAGTTTTCTTGTCACGTATCAAGTACATGGCAAGTATCTGAAAATTGCAGGTATGATGTAATAATTAATAATTATTTGTTTCATTATGGAATTAGAAATAGGATGCTGTATGCTTGGTAAAATTGTTTTTTAAATGAATACATTAAATAAACATCATTATGGAATCTGGGACACAGTTATCAAAATTGGATCAAATTACCTAACACTTCTTTGTATGGAATATGCATCACCTTTGAATGATTGTAAAATAAGCCAAAAATGTTAAATATAAATACATAGTCTAGAGCTATTAGCCCTGGCCTTCAATCTCCCTCCATTACACAATTGTTCATCTAAAGTAATAGAACTGAATTTATCGTTTTACAAGAAGAACCAAATCTATTAATTTTTGATACCAATTTTTCCTAGCTACTTTTGCCATGACAAACTTTCAAAAAGAGTAATTTGATTTGAAAGAAGATAGAGAGAAATTGTTCCAATTAACAGGAAGGCTAAGTTTAAGGCAATTGGTAAGAAGGATGGTGAGAATTTATTTCATGCAGTCAATTGGTTTGATCTGAGAACCCATTATCTGAAAGGGCGTTGAAAGCAGGTTTAGCATTGACTTCCAAAAGAGAATTGGATATACAACATAAAAAGAAACAAAGAATTAAGATGGTAATAGAGAGCGTTGCTAGCTCTGTCAAAGAGCCAGGACACGTACAATAGCCTAAATAGCCTCCATCCATGTCACAAGATTCTATGAACTTTCATCAAATATTACACTTGCAAAAGGAAGAAATAGCTTGCCGACAATGAATTTGTATCAATTTGAACACAAGCAAACACTTCATGGGCTACATCCATGCTGCAGATGCTCGTCTTAAATTGGGTTCCAACTAGGGAGAACCCTGTTCAGAAAATGAAAACAGAGGATGCTGGAGAAGCTTAGCATGTGTGGGAGCATCTATAGAGTTAACATTTCGAGTTCGATCATGATTATTCCTCGGAACGCTGTCCATGCTGCCTGGCTCCTCTCTGCCTGCAGCTACCTATAAGTGAGCTCCATATATACGCCGGGCGTCGGTCGTGTACTTGGAGCAATTTACCCCCGTACAGGGAATTCTGCACTCATTAACATCCCTGCCTCCATACATAAAAAGGACTGTCTCCGCACATACACAGAGTTGTTTCCACCATGAACAGAGCCGTCAGCCAACAGTTACAGGCAAATGTTTAAATAACAGAGTGAAGAAGCTCGAGGCGTTCAAAGTAAAAGCAGGTAGACGGTGGACCAGATTCACACCCAATGCCTTGTCAAATGGAAGAGTGAAGATGTTATCTCGCGAAAGTTTAACATCAGAGCCAAGCGCCTTACTTTCACATCGTGTTAAACGTGAATAATGTAAATTGGATGCAAAGGCCTAAACTGGTTCTGATGTGAAGAACAGTCAGATCTTAGAATCCCTACAGTGTGGAAACAGGCTCTTCGACCCATCAAGTCCACACCGACCCTCAGAACATCCCACCCAGAACCCATCCCACTCATCCCTGAACATTACGGGCAATTTAGCACGGCCAATCCACCTAGCCCGCACATCTTTGGACTGTAGGAGGAAACCGGACCACCCGGAGGAAACCTATGCAGACACGGGGAGAATGTGCAAACTCCACACAGTCACCCGAGGGTGGAATCGAACCTGGTGCTAACCACAGAGCCACTGTGCCATCTTCTCGGGCTCGGATCCGTATACCGTAATGCACTTCACTTTAGTGTCGGGCGGACTCTTGACCTGGGTCTCAAACTCCACTTAAACTGCAACACTTCGAGTGTGAACACATTCTCCGTTTTTATTGTCACCCCGCCGGCTCTCTTGTCCATGCCGTTGTAGAATTATTATTTATTTTCTTAAAGATGGGCAGGAACCCTTCTCAAAGTAAGAATTCAGAATTGAATCAAATTTGGTAGGCTCTGGAATCCAGTTGAATGGAGGTTGAGCTGGATCAACAACGGAACGGAATATTTTAAACACTTTTGCAGTCGCGCTCTCACGTACGCCCTGCGTTCCCTCAGTGGGATGTAACGAACTCCCCAAGACTGGGGGAGTCAGGAAAGGCTAGATTGCAATCAACATCAATTTGAAACACATTACAGATCAGCACGATGTGCCCGAGGCGTCTTTCTTTCTATCCATCAGTTTGTGTTATGTTAAATATGCGATACAAGGCTATGGGCCAAGTACTGGGGAATGGGATTAGAATAATTAGGTTAGAGATAGTAGGAACTGCAGATGCTGGAGAATCTGAGATAACAAGGTGTAGAGCTGGATGAACACAGCAGGCCAAGCAGCATCAGAGCCCGAAACGTCAGCTTTCCTGCTCCTCTGATGCTGCTTGGCCTGCTGTGTTCATCCAGCTCTACACCTTGTTATCTTAGAATAATTAGGTGCTTGCTTCTGACTGGCAAAGACTCGATGGGCCGAAGGGCCTTTTTCGCACTGTAGATGTCTAGGACTCTATGCTATATCGACTCTCCGCAACTTTACACCACGCTCTCCATGGAGTGAGGGGTTTCTGTGAATTTGTCAACTGCACCCTCCTCATATGTTTCACTCAGAAATAATTCAGGGGTGTTTAACTGTTTCCAGTCTGTCCACAGTGCGGTGTAACAATGTGCAAGGTCTAATTATAGATGTGCACACATTAACCATCGCCCCCAAAGCCATCCCTCCCCGCACTGCTCTCATGTAGATTGATGTTAGAAGAACATGGGTAAATTACCATCCGTCGACTAAATGAGGCTTCATTCCCAATTCGTTCCTGAAAGAGAATAGAAGCTTCACTTTCCAAGTCGTCCTATTTCGGCTGTTTGTTTTTCTTTATAATAAATAGGAAAGTGGATACTGCATTAAAGGGCTGCATTAAAGACCTGACTCTCCTCCCAAGCCGCGAAAATAGCCATAAATCTCCCCCGCTCCTTGTGGAGATTGGTGTGAGCGCAAGAAGATCCCCGCAGAATGCGAGATGCGCACATCGCCCTGTCAGTTCCCGGTGGAAAACCATCCCCCCGGGCGTGTAAAAAATTAAGATTAATTCTTCCTGAAGAAAATCTACAAACAAATGCTTCAATGTCACATAAACCTGAACGGGGCGGGGACTCCGGTTTAGGTCGCAAACAGCTTGAGCCGCAACTAAGACAAGTGTCTTTGGATAACCCAGCTACCTCAAGGAAAGCACAGAGGCAGCGGGAGGCCGTTTGGCCCATTGTTCTATTACCTGGTGTCAGTGTCCTGCCTTTTCCCTATATCCCTGCTCACCATTTCCAATGCCTGTCTTCAAAGTCCCAATGGAACCTGCCTCCACCACATTTCCAGGCAGTGCTTTCCACCACTGAACATGTTTAACTCCGAAGAAGGGTCACTGGACCCAAAACATTAACTCTGATTTCTCTTCACAGATGCTGCCAGACCTGCTGAAATTTTCCAGCAACTTCTGTTTTTTTTTCTGATTTACAGCATCCGGAGTTCTTTCGGTCTTTAACTCGGTCAACTTTGAACCAAACCACTGATCGCTTTACCGTTGGTTCTAAGCATGATTGAGTCGCGGAATTATTACAATTTTTTAAAAATTCAACCAAATGGCAGGGAACTGTAACAGTGCAGGTTGAATCAAGTGCTCGTTTGGAAGCTGTACGGGGAGCATCACAGAGATCAGAGGTTTCACAGGAGCTGCCAACTGCTCCAACAAGTCCTTTGGGAAAGACAATCAGTGACAAACCTGAGATCAGCATATCCCAGACATGGAGGAGAGAGAAAGAAAGAGCCCGCCGCACTCCCGATCACAACCTCGGCATCACCCGATAATAAATCCTGCCCGACGGGCAAGGAGAGCCACTGGTCTCTCAGGGATCAGTCTCAGACCCGTCTCCGTGTATCTCAGGCACACACAGGCACACACAGACACAGATACACACACACAGACACAGATACACACATACACACACACAGACACACACACAGATACACAACCGAGACATACACACAGATACACACACAGAGACACACAGACACACACACATAGACACAGACACACACACACAGACACACATAGATATACACAGACACACACAGACACACATAGATATACACAGACATACACAGACACACAGATACACACACAGACACACATAGATATACACAGACACACACAGATACACACACAAAGACACACACAGACACACAGGAACAGACACATACACAACCATAGAGACAAACGCACACACATACACAGATACACACTTACACAGACACACACGTCACCGCCCCCACACCCCCCACTCCTCATCCCCACCCCCATGCTTTCATTTCGTCTGAAGCTCTGGTTTTACGCACGGCAGTCGGGAGGCCTGTGATGAGGTGTCTCCACGCTTCTGTTTGTCACTTTCATTCCCTTGTGAAGATGCCCCTCGCGGGGCAAAACCACCTGCTGCTCTCATAATCATTTAAAAGCCAAACAAATAAGAGACAAGGGGTAAACTATTCGGCAAGGTGCTGGAAATAGAGAAAAATAGAGTTGTAGTGTGAATTCAGGGACTCGCACTTTCCCTACTGGATAGCCCCTAGTTCATTCCCAAAGTGAACTTGGTGTCCACAGAGCACGCTGCAGTGGGTGCTGGGGAGGCGAGTCTAGAAACAGTAGCTGGAGCATCTTTCTGGTACGCTGACCGAATTGAAGAAAAAAATCTCCCGATTCAAATTCAGCTCGAAATAGCAAAAATGTTCTCTAAGGATTACAGCGACCATATGTAAAAGATGATCTATAAAGGGCTATCATATCTACAAGGGTATACACATCAGCAACCGCGCACACGCAGAGCTATAGCAGCCTGTCAGCTTGCTGCCCTGTCCTCTGGAGTGCCATTACTCGGCACTCTTGCTCACACTTTAGTGGAAAAAGGCACGAACCTTGGTGTGTTGGATTTCCAGGTTCGGTGTTGGGGATGGTAGCAGTTGGAGGGAAGCGATCAGAGCGGCGGGGTCAGTCTTCACCTCGCTGGGGATCTCGATTTCACTGGAAGTCATAGTATCGATTTGGCGAGACGAGTTGTAGTCAGGATGCCGACTGTATTTTTTTTCTCGCTCTCTCTCCCCTCCCACCCACCCCCGTTACTTTTGCTGATCAGAGATTCTGACTTGTGTCCCTGAGCTCTGGGCTTTTCTATTTAAGCAGGTGTCAGTCTGTGTCTCTCTCTTATTGGGCATCAGCTGAGAAGGGGGTTGGGCTGTCATCTCTTAATGACACGCTCCAAAGAGGTGAAACAATCGGACTCCTTGCCTTTTCCAATGCACTGTTGGATTCACGACAGCCAGTTAGTTCTGGTCCTATCTTATCATCTGCCATCCTTTACCTGCCCGTCATCTCCTCACCTGTACAGTCAGCCAGATCCTTGGGGGTTGCAATGCAACAGATGACCCACACAGTTGAAATGTATTGGATTTTTGAGCCAGTTTAACCTCCCCTTCCCCTCCACGGTCAATTCTGGAGCGATTTTCGCCGGAGATCGCCACCTCCACAACCAGCCTCCCCGCCCCGCTAGAATTGCTCCATTCCGTCGGGAAAAGAGTCGCAATTCCCAAGCTCTACTCTTGCAAGCCCTTTTGATTCCGACAGCAGACATTGGCTCCTTCTCCCTGTTTCTGGTCTATGTTGCGGACTGAATTTCCCCTATTAGAGACACGATTTTCTGTTTTATTTTTGGTCTTAATCTGTTTGGCCTTTAGCTGATTGGTGTGTCCCGTCTCTGAGGGTCATGTGCACCACACAGATAAACAGATGGACAGGAGTAGCAATTTTGAGTTCCACCAGCTTTGCTTATTGTTAAAAATCTCAAACTTGCACAAGAAGCAGACTTTTAAAGGGAGACGCATGCATAATGTACAGTCCCGTTGTTTCAGAGCTGTTATCGGCTCCATTAAAGAACATAGGACGAGGCGGCTCTGAATAGTGGGGTAAGTAAGTGTGTGTGTGTGTGTGTGTGTGTACATGCGCGCCCACTAGGCGCCGGACCCCACTTTCTCTATCAAACTCTCACTCCATCTCCAGCCCCAACACGCCACAAGCAATGGAAACGAGCAGCCCTCGGAAGCGACAGCGGACTTTTCCCACAACCTCCAGACAGTATCCGCCACTTCTCCACAGCTGGGAATTCTCCTTGCCAATGAAAACGAAAGTTTGAAGTACACAAATCAGCTTCTGCGGAACGAAGCTCTTCGAATTCGTCCAAAATAAACGCGCTTTTCACAAAGGCAGACAGGCAGCAGCAACCTCCCGGCAAGTGTTTTTTTAGGCTCTTACATTTAACAGAACCTCCACCCCCAACCTCCAAGCCAAGCATCTCCCTTACTCTTACGGACAACCCTCAGAAACCCCCTTACCCTTACAGACCCCTCAGTATCTCCCTTGCAGTTATAGGCCTCCCTCAGCCTCTCCCTTACACTTGCAGACCTCCCCTCCACATCCCCTTATTCTTACAGAATCACCCTTCCTCAGTATCTCCCTTACACTTACAGACTCCACCAGCGTCTCCCTTACACTTACAGACCTCCCCTCCACATTCCCTTATACTTACAGAATCACCCTTCCTCAGTATCTCCCTTACACTTACAGACTCCATCAGCATCTCCCTTACACTTACAGAGCCCCCCTCTCAGAATTCCCAATACACTTACTGACTCCCCTCAGCATCTCCCTTACACTTTCAGACCTCCCGCAGCATCTCCCTTACACCCCCGCCCAGCATCTCCCTTACACTAAAAGATCCACTGAGCATCTCCCTTACTCTGTATGTACAGACTGCCAAGCACATCACTTGTTTACAGACCGCGTCTCTCCAGCATCTCCCTTACACTTACAGACCTCTCAGCATCTCCCTTTTGCTAACAGGTCGAAATTCACGCCACAAAACCAGTATTGGCTGGAGGTAACTTTTCCCAGTCCTGTAATATCTTATTCCTATATTTCCAGGTGCATTTATCACCTACTCTGACCGCCGAGCTGAAACAATAACCTGTTTTATGTTTTGTAATGCCAGTATTTCTCTCTCTGCCCACGCATTGCCAGAGGTGCCAGCCTGTGGATAATAGACGGTGCCAATCTTCAGAGGAGGCGCTAAATCCCCTCCGTGTCGTAGGGCTTTGGATAGGATTCTCTGGCGTTATTTGAGGAACGGAGAGTTTCATGTGTTTTCTTGGACAACATTCCTCCCTCAAATCAATCGTACGAGCGAGAAAGTCCCCTCGTTCCATTCGCCACGTTGTTCTTCGTGGGATTGTCCTATGCGAAAATGGACACTCGGGTCTACCGTCAGAACACAAGCACCCGCCCCTGAAAATAATTCATTGCAAATGAAACCGTTTGAAACGTTTCTGAGAATGTTGAATAAGGTGCGAGAAAGAAACGGGACTTCATTGTGATCCTATTATCTCAAACAGCCCCGAGTCACACTAATGGGACCTACTTCCTCAGGCTTTTGCATTAACCGTCAATGTTATCCATGCGGCAAATGGGCAGCAATTTCCTCGACAGATTTCAAAAGACCTGCGATTTTTGCAATGCTCACAGCCTGGTATCTGCCTGTAGCTGGTGCTGAATCAATACAATGGGTATTATTAATGGCGAAAATCCTGAGACATACTTGAACACTGAGGAAATAGCATAACTGTTAAAGTTGGTATCGAACGATTTACAACCAAAATAACAGCGCTATTGACTTTACTGACTTTACAGCCTTGGATTTACGTAAGGAGACAAAATCTTATCAAAGTGCAAAAGAAACAATCTTCGAAACTAACTACTTTGCATCATCCAGCATATGTGAATATTGTTTTTATTCTCCTTCGAAAACGGTTTCCTACAAAAGAGATTTACATCAAAGAGCTTTTTTTCCAGAAGAGACTGACAGTGATTAATGTAATAAAAACATTTTATTCTCAAGTCATTAGTTCAAACACAGACAAACAAGAACCCACATACAGTTAACAAAGCAGAGCACAGAAACCATGCCAGGCAGTGGGAGTTCGCTTCCAATACTACACGCACACATTCTGAACCTTGGCTCTCGTTGCTGAGGGGAAACGCCCAATGTAACGAACCCATTGGCCTGTCATTTGGTTTTCCCTTCAGTTACCACAGTATCTGCTTGTCCCACATAAGAGTCAGTCCAGTGGAACCTTGTTACTTCAATAGGTGGAGGTTGTGGTGGTTGGAGGTGGGGGTGGAGGCATATAAATGGCTTTTAATCTGACTTGATTGTAACAGGACCATTATTGTGTGTGACAAGTAAAATTGAGACACCTTAACAATTACCATACAGAGCCAGTTTCTATCAACATCATAAGACCTTATGAAAAAGGCACAGCAGGAGACTATACAGCCTGGAGCCTGCCCCGGATTCAATAAGATCACAGCTGATCCTTGACTCAATTCCACTCTCCTGTATGATCTCCAAATCCCTTGATTCCATTAGATTCCAAGAATCTATCAATCTCAGTTTTGAATACACTCAAGGACAGAACATTTACAGATGAAGAATTCCAAAGATTCACAACTGTTTGAATGAAGACATTTCTCATTTGCTCAGTTCTAACTGGTCTTGGCATTAGATTTGCCCCTTAGTTTAAAACCCTGGGGGTGGGGGGTGGGGGTAGGGGCGGGAGGTGTCATAGCTCCCAACAGCACAGTGGATGTACCAACATCCCAAAGACTGCAATGGTTCCAAAAGACAGTTCACTACCACGTTCTCAAGGGCAACTAGGAATGATCTATAAATAACGTAGCTAAAGGCTCCCACATCCAGGGAGCAAATATAATAAAATACTCTTAGCATGAACCTTGTCAAGCCCTCTCATAATCTTTTATATCTCAGTGAGATCTTCAAAACTCTAGAGAGCCCCTTTCACACATTCTCTCTTCATAGGACGACACTTTCACCACACTAATTAATTTACTGACTTTTGTTTCACAGCCTTGAAACCAAGCATATCCTTTTCTTAGGCACAGAGACCAAAACTGTACATGATATCTCAGGTATAGTCTTGACAAAATGCAGTCTTATTGTAGCAAGGTTTCCTTATCCTGCAGTGTAAATCTCTTGCAATTAAAAAAAAAACTTAGAATTCAGGATCCTAATTGCTTCTTGAACTTGTATTTTAACTTCCTGTGTATCATGTACAAGGACATTCAAATCTCTTTGAATGCCAAGATTTAATAATTTCTCACAATTTAAAAAATATTTTGCTGTTCTATTCTGCCAATGGAATAATTTAATATTTCTACATGTTAAACGCCAAATATCATCTTCTTGCCAATGACTTAACCTACCGACATACCTTTCAAACACACCGTGCACTCAAACTTTGCTTCCCCAACTGGCTTTATATCATCAGCAAACATTGCACTGAATCCCTTTATCTAGGTCACAAATATAGATTCTTAATAGTTATGGACTCAGTATTGATCATCATTACATCTCATCAGTAACATCCTGCCCACTTGAAAATTACTCAGTTATTCTTACTCACTGATTTCTAACCTTTAAATGGTTCTCTACCCATGCTAACACATTATCCCAACTTTGTAGTTCAAGAATACCACCATTTTCTCAAGAGCAACTGGAATGGCAACAAATTCTGCTTACAGTCCACACAAGAATAAAAAAAAGTTTCCTATGGCACCTTATCACACACATATATGTATTTTGAAAATCTGAATATAATACTTCTATCGGTTCCTCTTTATCTACCCTGCAATTTACATCCACAAATAACTCCATTAGATCTGTCAACCACAATTTTCCTTTCATAAAATCATGCTGAATTTGCCTAATCATATTATAACTTCATAAATGTCCAATTTCCACTTTTTAATAATTGGTTCCAGCATTTCCCCACAACTGGTATCATTTAAAAGGCCCAGAGTTCCCTATATTCTCTCTTTGTCCTTTCTTGAATACAAATGTTACACTTTGAGGCACCCTTGAGCTCTTCTTTCCACCTGAGCTGTATCATGGTAGGGCTTCGAGCTGTCTGAGGAACCCGTCACTGTCTTCAATTGGACATCAGGCCCAGAGGTGA